AAAGAAAACCACAGGTAGTCAAAGCGACTTGGCATATTTCCACTGCTGTGTTGAGCAACTAATTTGAAGCCACTTGCAGATTCCTCTGGGAGATTTTTTAACTAGGCTAGGGAAGTTTGTTCCAGTGTAAGATGACAATATGGCCAGTTATTTTAATGGTAGTCCTCCAAAACTTACTCTGGCAGTGCAGTAGGAGTAGGCACGTGGTAGTAAATGTAATAGAATGCTCTAAGCTCTGTTTTGCAGAGCTGTGACCATAGAGTCATTGAGGTAGTAAAAGACCTCCAAGATGGAGTCCAACCTGTGACTGACCACCACCATGTCAAACAGCTAAACCAGGGCACTGAGTGCCATGGCCAGTTGTATCTTGAACACTTCCAGGGACAGTGACTCCACCACCTCCCTGGGCTGCTGCTTTCAATGCCTGACCATCCTTTCTGTGAAGAAATTCCTCCTGATGTCCAACCTCAACMACGCCTGGTGCAGCTTTAGGCCATTTTCTCTTGTCCTGTCTCTGGTTCCTGGGAGAAGAYGGTGACCCCACCTGGCCACACCCTYCTTTCAGGCAATTGTAGAGAGCAGTATGGTCKCCCCTGAGCCTCCTTTTCTCCAGGTTAAGCACCCCCAGCTCCCTAAGCTGCTCCTTACAGGACGTGTGCTCCAGACCCTTCATTAGCTCCATTGCCCTTCTCTGGACACGCTCCAACATCTCAGTGTCCTTGTTGCTGTGAGGACCCAGAGCTGGACACAGCACTTGARGTGGAGCCTCATCAGAGCTGAGTACATGGAGATGATCCCTCCCCTCATCCTGCTGGACACACTATATTGACATGTGTGGTATCATCTATYTTGACTCAGAACTGAAAAATGGCTAGTGGGAGTGACACAGCAATAGCCTCTGCCAGGAAGTAGTTTCTTCAGAGTTTAGCAGTCATGAGAAGCACTGGAATTCCTGAAGGAGTCATTTCTTGTGACGAGCTTGTATGGAAAGCTGTTTGCCTGCCATAATTATTTTTATTTATTTATTTATTTAATTTRTTTGAATACTTGTCAACCTCCAGTACCCTTTGTTAGCCCAAACCCACCAGAACATCTTTAATGCTGTCACATTCCACACTTAGTTCACAGGTAAAGATCTAAGTGTGAATTCAGCTATTATCCACTGTGTAACTTCCAAGGCTATATTGAGAAGCCCTCATTCCTCAATTCAGCTCTGGTTTAAACAAGCTTTACTGTGTTTTCTTATGTTTCCTAGGAGCCAACATCTTTCTTACCTCATCTGGACTGATTAAACTAGGAGACTTTGGCTGCTCAGTGAAGCTGAAGAACAATACACAGACAATGCCTGGAGAAGTGAACAGTACCTTGGGGACTGCAGGTAAGGAAGCTTGTGCTAGGCAGGTATTTGTATAGTTACCATAAAAGAAGATACCTCTGCCAGAAGTCTGGGCTGGAATAAAACCGTGTGTTTTAGGGAAATTCGATTTTACCTTAGCTAGTTTTGTGCTTTATGTCCAGAAGCAAAAAAAAAAAAAAAAATCAGTGAGTGATATAATGTGAGAGAAAACTATATTTGTCTGGTTTCTATATCTGCTGGAGCATGTGTTTTCTGGGGTTCTGTTTTTCTCTGCAGCCTTACTGAAAAGTACTCTCCTCACTGAAMAGCTGCTTAATCTATTTTCAAAAAACTGCAGTATCTGGAAGCATGTACTGTAACAGCATTTTTAYTGCCACTTTTCAAACTGAGAGACAGTTGTGCTGAAAACATGTCAAAGAACAAGAAACTAGCAAACGGCAAAATATAGCAAGAAAACCTGAGTAGTAATTTCATTATGTGTTTTAAAAAGCATTTGGTTTCCTGGTCAGTCACCTGATGTTTACCATTCCTTCTGCTGTATGAACTGATGGCATCATATATGTTGTTTCAAAGCATACATGGCTCCAGAAGTGATCACTAGAGCTAAAGGAGAAGGGCACGGACGTGCAGCAGACATCTGGAGCCTGGGCTGTGTTGTCATAGAGATGGTCACTGGCAAGGTAGGGATGTTTCACATACTCTTAAAATGCAAACTCTTCTCGGAATTTTTTCTGCAAATTCTGGTTCCACTCTCAGCAATTTGTCTCACTGAACTCTGCAGGGATTTTTTTTTATTTCTTGGAGTACAGAAATACATGCTCTAGTGGTTAGTGAGTTTCTCATGAAAGCTTGCACTTAATAGTTCTGTTACCTGTTGCAGAGGCCTTGGCATGAATATGAGCACAACTTCCAGATCATGTATAAAGTGGGGATGGGTCATAAACCTCCTATTCCAGACAAAGTGAGCCCAGAAGGGAAAGACTTCCTTTGCCAYTGCCTGGAAAGTGACCCAAAGATGAGGTGGACGGCCAGCCAGCTTCTCGATCATCCTTTTGTCAAGGTTTGTCTGATGACTTTGGCTACAAACACTGCAGATGGGAATTGGGAACAGCTGTTAGTTGGCTTATTTTCAGTGATGCCACAGGGCTTGGTACCATGGTGAGGGCTGGTAGCAAGTTGATCCTGTCCAGGAAACATGGATTGGCAACTTTCCAGAAGCATGTGTTGTTTTTAGCAAGCATTTGACTATAGGACTGGTGTGCACCATGCAATAAACTTTCACTGCTGTTTTAAAATGAATTATCTTTATGCCAAAAACATACATCAGCTGAAACTCAGCAGCTGGTAATCGGATCTGAAGGGATCTCCATCAAAAACTTTAGCAAGTACAAATCCACAGGTTTTTGGAGTTAAGAGTCCCTTCCATAAAAAGTGAAACCAACACATGCTTGAGACATCCTTTTGTGCAAGGAGCTGCTTTTTTTTAGCATTTGTACTTAAGGTTAAGGTCAAACAGAATGTTTATCTGGCAGCTGGTATAACAGTCTGCAGTTCTTGCATGAATTATGGTGTGATGCTTTCCTTAAGAACAGGCGAATACTCACTGCTACAAACAGAACTGTGTTAGTAACTTCTTTTTTGAAGAAGTGGGAGCKCAGTAGATTATTGAATTCTGTCCCATTTTCCAGCAAAAAGTTGATCACTTTGGTGTTCTGGTTCAGTTAGCAGTGTGWTTGGGATCATCAACCCATCCCTCATCAGTGCCAGTGTAGCCAGATCCCATCCATCCATCAGAGGTAGATGCTTCTTTAGGCACCTAAGGGATGCAGCATGACARTGGGGATGTCACTACTCCCATACAAACACTTGTAATGCATTACTGTATGAAAAGGGAGGAAAAGGAAAGCTTCAAAGATATTTGATGAAGGTGCTGAAGAAATTGATCCATTGTCATCTTGCTGCAGGAGGGAGATGACTGCAGTAATTGTCTTTTGCTTCCTTCACAGGTTTGCACAGATGAAGAGTGAAGTTACTCAATCTCTGGCCTTTTTTATTCTGACAAGATTTTAATCACTACTGTATGTAATATTTACATAAAGACTRTGCTGAGAAACAGTGTAAAAGTTGAACTTAACGAAGACTGCACAAGTGACAGTGTCACTTCCTCTGCTGCTCCTGTACATTTTACTCGGCACACGTTGCTCACATGACAGTGTCCGCCAGTTGGAAGAAGCTGCATGTTTCAGTGAAAGTGCCATTACTACTGTATATGGACCATGCCCCTTTTGTTCCTTYTCCCGTTTCTCATTTGATTGAGAACTTGTAATGTTAATAATGTAGTATTTTTGAACTCTCTAGGTTCAGAAAAATGCTGTAGTGTTATCAGGCATTATGGACCTTGTTTTTTAATCTGTTTGAGTGCACTGACTGTGAACTTTTACTGGGGTTTTTGTTTATTTGTTTTTGGCAAGCTTCGGATTTGTTATGCACAAGGCTGATTATTGAAATTTAAAAAAAAAAAAAGGTTTTTCTCAATAAATGGTTTATTTTAGGAGAAGTTGGTGAAGGGTTTTTCTTCCAAAATGTGTGAGGCTGTCACATTTTAAACTTTTTTGCAACATTGGGATAAGACTGCTAAGCTGACCTACCTGGAATAAGCTGCTCTTACATAGCAATAGTTGATTCTGTCGAATTTCAAGATGTGCAGTGTGAGATGCTTCTTACACATGTGGTAAGAGAAATAAGGTTCCCCATTCAATGATCTTGTGATGAAAGAAGATGATGGGCGATTCCTGACACTGCCATTTACTTAAGGGATAACTTTCTTCTTGAAGGGATGCACTGTGAACAGGGAGTGCTCTGCATTGCATTTCTGTCTCCAAGAAGAGAACTGTACAAGGTGATTCTTGTGTTCTGTTTGGCAAAATGAAGAACCTACTCTTAACCTTTTGAAAACTGATTTCTGATCCTGGGCTTTCATTTTTCCCACCACACCCCAGCTGTCATCAGCATTAGACAAGGAAGCAAAGTTAGAAGTGGGTAGCAGTTGGAAGAAACAGCCTGCAATGTGTGATCTAGTTGATTTTTGCTATTACAAATAGGTGACTTAAAACTGTTACTTGTAACATTAGTGCAAGTTTACATATTCTTGTTTACAGCTTTAGACTTCCAATAGGTGACTTAAAACTTGCTTTTGATATTTGGTTTTATATTCTAGTGTCTTGTCTCTCATCTTAATCCACAAATCCTTGACTTGTCACAGGTGTTGCATGAGCTGTTGAGGAGGTATCTAGAGAAGCATGAGCCTTGCTGTGCATGTGTTCAGGCTCTCAAAAACACAATGCTGAATTCAAGCAAAGACTTCTTTTCAGTTCTCTATTTTCAATTGTGATAGAACGGGAAGTATGTTGTCATCCTCAGCAAAGGATTATAAAAACACCTGAGGTACACATGCCCTGCCCTAGTCTGCTGTGTGCTTCACTCTGCCGTGTAACAGAAATATCTGAGTGATTTTTGTCCCCACTTGTTTCAGATGCCCTTGAACACAAACAGGAACTRGGGACAGCTTTTAGGAGTTGGGATAGAGGTGGCAAACTGTTACTAGTTTGTTCCTACCAACCAAAAAACTCATTCATTGCACATCAGCTTTTTATACTTTTATTTTTGTATAAACAAACATTAAGACTAATTTTGTTAAGGCAGTTGTAGAACATACAGTTGCTTGTGGGGATGAGGGGCAAACACTGCTTCCTAATGACCTATGTCATTCTTTTAATACAGTAAACTGGACAAATTTAACTTTGGCAAGGACCATTAAGCTTCCTGTTTCAATGAGTGCTGGAAGGGCCTCAGTGCTGTGCCAGGACTCRCAGAAGTGCTTAGGAGGATGGATCCAGGAGTGTTTGGCCCTCAGCCTGTTCTAAGGGTTGGTCCAGGAAATGGGGATGAAATAATCTATGCCCTCTTTCAGAAGTATTTACTTGTTTGGTACTTTCCTCTGGAGAAGTGGCACTGCACACAGTTAGAGGGGAAAGGACTGTGAGTCGTGAGGAATTGCTGAATGTCTTCCTTACTGCATATTCAATCAGTGGCTCTTGAAGAAGGCAGAACAGCCTTTGTCACTCCAGGAGTACATATTTGCTGCTCAGAACTACTCACCCATCACCCTGAGAAAAGGCCACTGRACCTGCCAGGTAATGTTTACAGTAAAATGCTAACCTGGAGAGGCCTTTCCTTTCTGCCTTTCCACCCATTTTCACACTCTTGGRGACATGTCTTCAGATCTGGCTTGTAAATGTGTCTGATCATTATTACAGGATGTAATACTCAGTTTTCAGTGTACAGAGTGTTACAGCAGAGTGCAGGGCATGTGCTTTATGACACAGCATTGTAAATACTGCACTATTTTCTACTCTCAGGCTGTTTCATCTGTTGGAAAAACTACACCCAGAGCCCAGGTTTCTGTTCAYGGCATCATACAACCTCTTCATGAGAGCTTCAGTGTGTGGGGAGTGCATGTGTACACAAGATGTGTGACGAAAAAGGTTCCCCTACCCAGTCTCTCTCAATTCTCATGGCCTATTGCTTCCTTCATGTTGTAAATTTTGCTGCCTCCACTATCCATAAACTTCACTTACTGCTCCAYGCTAAAAGCACTATTTCACCTGCTTTTTAGGTTCTGCATATAAAAAAGGTGAGTTTCTAAATTATTTGATGTACTGAACAGCAAATACATATTTCATGGAATGATCCATATTGTTGTATTAACCTGTTTCTTCTGGCCTCAGTTTTATTCTRTTTCAAGAGAAATAGAATATTTTGTACCAGCTGCTAGACCAAAGACTGCTTACTTTATTCACTGAAGGCTGTTATGGTTTAGTCCTATGCCCAGTGAAAACAGGCCGTCTTTGAAAGTGCCAATCAAACCTCCACTGCTCTGGTCAGGATCTGTAAACTTAAAAAAATTGGAAAAAAATTCCAATCAGAATTTGTTAGTTTATGTTCCCTATTTTCCCCTGTTCTAAACAAATTCTTTATAGTAATGTGCAGATCCTTAACTCTGCRAGTTTAAAAAAAGGAGGTGGCTGCCCTGAAATCAGTACTGGAAATGTCAGAGCAACCCCACTTTCCCCAGAGTGGAAAGTCTAGTTTCATTTAATCGTCTAATTAAAAAAAAATAAAGTCTAATTTATTTAATTTAATTAATTTATATCGAGTCTAGTTTTRTTTAATTCAGAAAGGTGTCAAATCAAGCTAAGACAGACATAAAAAAATGAGCCATAGCTACTGTCCTAGSTCTCTCTCCTAGTTTCCCTCTCCTCCCCAGAAGAAAATAATTTACTATTACCTCAGGCTGACTGTTATGAGGCACCAAGTAAACTAGTTTATCAGAAAAGACAAACAGATTAATTAGGATCACAACAGTATGGGTGTGGGGCAGACATTTTAATGCACACTTTGCATTATTTCACTACGCCATGCCCAATTATTTTTGTTCCACAGTTGTTAGGATAGCCTGGAATTTTAMGTAGTATTTAAAGCCAACAGGAATTTTACTATCTCAGTTTTTTTCAAACTAAAAATGACATTTACTCTGATGAATTACAGGTTTCAGCTATGCCTTGGATGTATGGCCTGGGGAAAGAGATGGCAGTGGGTAACTTAGCCAAATTCTGATACAGGTTATGCTACTGCCAGGCTCTGATGTCTGGATGCCCAGGGTCTGGCTGAAGGGCCCATGTAGTGCACACGTGGGAATAAGTTCTAGATGTACAAAATTCTACTGCAGTTCTGTCAGTTCAGCAGAGCTGCTTCAGTCCAATACTGCTATAACCAAGCACAGCCTCTCACTGTACTGTATTTAAACACTGACAGATTATGGTTGTTAAACTGTTAAACTGTGTGATCTACACAACTATCAATTGTAATCACCTTGTAACAATCTTCTGACATTAAAGCCTGCACCTCTGGTTAATTTCCAGGTAAAGTCTCTTCATATAAGCACGCTGGAATTTTTTTTTTCTTCAAAACTTAAGACACTTCATAGGAAAACAAACCAACCACACGTGCAAACCTTTTGTTGGGAGTATACGAAGGAGTGCATATTTCCAGCATGTCATCCAGCCCAAACCCCCAGAGTAAAACAGGAGCACAAATTCAGATATGCACGGYAATTACTCATCCTCTGATTTCACTTGAAGGACCATGATATGCACTTAAGAGTGTTCAGCAGTTGCATTTGTTCCCTTTGGATTGAAGCAGTCTCTGAAGATGCTACTTTCGTTTCTGCTTGTTGTCATTGTTGCCATAGGTGGAGCCTTTGTTAATTTCTGTAACCCCGATCATCCATCTGACACCAACAGAAGCTGCAAAACAAACACAGTTAGAGCTGCTGAAGGCAAGGCTGAAGATCTGCACCGGTGTAGCATCGTGAAACCAAGCATGGAAGATCAACTCCAGATCAACTCGTTTAATGCCTGTGGCTTCTCATGAAGGAAGAACCACAGGATGGACACGTTCCCTCCCTTCAGCAGGGAAGAGGCTACAAGGAAGCAAGATGGGTGAGAGGCACAGGTGTGCACAGCCCTGCCTTCTGAGGAAGGGATTTCTGCTGCCTTTCAACAGCCCCATGTCTGGAAGAGCACAAGCAAGTGMAAGGGCACTTCAGAGCTTGATAAACATAAAAAATGTAAGTTATRGTGTTTGCTAATGACAGCTCATGAAAAAGCCCATTACAACAAACCAGGCTAATTTTAAAGACTATTATTGATATTTCAGTGGTAATCATTCATCATGTGCAAGGATAATTTTATTTACTTCTTTATCTGTTGCACATAAAGTGACTAAGTTAAATGCAACTTAACCTAAACTCCTTCCCTCACARTTTTGGATTTTTTTGTAAAGGGGCTCAGCTGCCCAAAATCAATTATTCCTCAAGCTTCTGCTCAGCTACTGTATATACTCAGAACTGCCATGCTTCTTTCAGGCTAAACCTATTAGCATGTCACACACATCTTTTCTCTGCTCAGAGTGCTTTCTAGAAAAAAAGAAACCAAACCAAACCAAAAACCCCAAGAAAAGCACAAACCTCCTCTAAGCCTCCAAATCCCACTTTCTTTCCGACTGATGGTGAAAAGGTCCAGTAAGGTGAGRTGCTCTAAACAGATCATTCCCATGGGTCTTTWCTTCTCTGGATGACCCWGAATAAATTCTCAKCAGCCAGCAGGGCTGATACACCACYGTGTCATGGCATTTGCTGCTCKKKA